CCATCTCTCAGTCTCACACTTAACGCTTCGCTGCTCCCTTGTGAACGCGTTGGGTTCTGCATAAGGGCGGGTAAGCTCCGAGGGGCTGCTATGCCCTATATGCAAGTGGCCTAGTTTACGGGCTGGATATCGAGTGGGCTTCTATCAGCTTGCCCCTTCCGTTCTTCAAAACCAGCGCAGCATCAGAGAATATCTTTCCCCCGTGCGCCAAAGAGAAATCTGAATTAAATTACGGGTGTTCTTTCTGTCGACTGACGACCAAAGGGTTGTGCGGTCTGCGTGATTGTCATCGTGCCGGGCAGCACATCGCTGGATGTTCTCGATCAGATTTGATTGTCTACCCCCCCCCCCCGTTCCCTATGTCAAGAATGTCAAGGCCTCTTCACCCGAGACAGTTGCCTTATACAGAAATTTAACACAGGAAATAAGAGTTTATGGCATTATTTAGAGTGAGGACTGAATATGTGTATCCATTATGCTGATCAGGCATTGGATTTATAATGTTGCAATGTCACGTGTTATATAGTTGTAAATTATGCATGGATGCATGGGCCCTCAGTGAAATTGCTGAGCAGTCGGGTTAGAACAGATAAAAGGAAGTACTTCTTCACCCAAAGAGTGATTAACACGTGGAATTCACTGCCCCAGGAGGTGGTGGCGGCTACAAGCATGGACGGCTTCAAGAGGCAATTGGATAAACATATGGAGCAGAAGTCCATCAGTGGCTTTTAGCCACAAGGTATGGACAGGAACTCTCAGTCTGGGGCAAGGGATGCTCTGTATTCTCGGTGCTGGGGTGCTGGGGATGCTCTGTATTCTCGGTGCTAAATAGCCACAATTTCAGTCATTCAGGAGAAAACAACATTTGCATTCATTAGTCAGATGTCTTTTTGACTGTAATACATTGAAGAGTATTTTCCCCTCGAATCGACTCGTAAAAGAGACAGTCCAAAATTATGTGGTTAATTGAGTCCAAGGAATGTAGACCACAGGGGCAAATTTGTTCCTGAAGTGGAGAGTGTCCGTAACGACCAAGATGCATCTCAGAAGGGAACGCGCTCAATCTAGCCAGAGAGAAGGCTCTACGCTGATGCGGATCTTCAAGGTTATAAAAATAGTCAAGACCCAAGATTGCGGGAGACCAGACATAAGGTTGTGCGGGACAAAGTTTATGCTGTTCAATATCAACAAGTCTTTGTCTGGTGATCCTAAGAATATTAAGCTCATCCGACAAAGCAAGATCATTGAGGTCAATCCCTATTTGTTTAAATTTGTTCAGAATTGTACCGGATTGCATTGTTCAGATCACTTTTTAGATGGTTCAGTAAAGAACCTGAGTTGGCTCTAAAAAGAAGTTTGAGCCAGTAACAGATCACATGGATCCAAACCTTTGTTTCAATCAGATTTTGACCAGTTTCTAAACAGATGGTAAAATAGGGCACGCATTTAGGGATGAGGTGGAGCGAGGCCCAGCCCAGGAGAACGGCAGAGAAGAAGAGGTTCTCCACCACGGCTGTGCAGGCCATCCACCAGCGGCGCCGGTGGGCAGTGGCGAGCGTGGGGGCCATGATGACGGATTGGTTGTACGGGGAGGCCTTTTTCACCTAGACTCCTTCAGACAGAAGAGAACAAAAAGATACCTCTGAAGCAGCTTCTTCTCCATGGGTTTTCGAGCAAGGGAACCTTTACCTTTACTTTACTTATACAGATGTATCTTGATTGTGTCATCAGTGTTCTTGGCTGATAGCGCATGTTTTCCTACAGTTATGAGCAGCGTTCCCTCTAAGCTGAGTTAGTGTGAGCTAGCTCATGATTTTTTATATCTGAGGGAGTTTTAGATGCACGTTTATCTCATCAGTAGTTAAGAACTAAACATTTGTTTAGATGGTAATCACCTGTTTAAGTTAAAAGAAATTTAATGTAGAATGTGACTGGTATTTTTCTATAAAAATGTGTTGATGTATTAAGCAAATCAGATTTTTCTGGATGGAACTCATGAAAGAGATTCGGTGAGACTTCTATTTGTGTGTGCGACTTGGATTTTGAGAAAATTCCTAAAAGGAGCTTCGGGTAATAAACTGAAATTTGATTTCCTTTAACTTACTCTTAACATGGTTGAGAAATGTTAGGAGATCTGATCATTTCTGCACTTCACCACCCCCCCCAGTAACTATAGGGTTAATTTTCACATGCTTCTATTTTCTAAGGTCTTGTCTGATAAAGAGAACTATTTCTTTTCTTCAATAATGTAATAACTCCTTGAAGGTTTTCTATCTGGTTTGCTGGTATTAATCGAAAGAACAGAACTCACAATTAATTAATTTGTACTGTCATAAAATTAAAGGTCGCAAACAAACTTTAATCAGATAGACACTGGTGATACCTGAAGCTAACTCTCTTAGAAGACTAATTCTTAGAGAGGTAATTCATCTAGATTCTCTGTTTGGATGCAGGAGTAAAGCATCTTGTTACACTTAAGAACAGCATTATGAAAGAGATTTCGCAGCCCAACCCAGAAAAGCAGTGGAGGTTTACAGACCAGGCCTGAACCTAAAAGCTGCTTTGGAGGGCACTCGGAGGCCTTTTCATGTTTCAGTGTTGTAACACTGTCCTCTTAACCCTTTTGTTTTTTAAGCTCTGTGCTATGGACAAAAACTTGGAGTTCGACAGAGACTTTAGGATTAAGCACTACGCAGGCGATGTGATGTAAGTGTGTAGTTCCTGCTGTTCTACTTGCTATTAATATATTCTTATACAGTTTTTAACCACATTCCCTTTTCTTTTTCCTGTGTGTGTGTGGGGGGGGTTTGGCTTTCTTCCATCTATGGACCTGGCTGAAGAAATCTGCCATAAAAGTAATTTGGTTTGTGCTTCTTGGCTCTTAAGCCTCTGAAATCCAGTTCTGTACGCAGAATAAAGTATCTCTCTCCGCTCCCCCATTCTACTTGTGCTCTTCTGAGAGCATTCTCCTTTCTAAGCTCATAAATGTGAAATGGTTTATTTAATGGTTTTGGCCATTTGGGCACGTACTTTGCATGCCCAAGGTCCAATATTCAGTCCTCTTCACTTCCAGGAGAAAGAGTAGCAGGGCAGGAAAGACTTGTATGTGAGTACACAATACTGAGTTAGATGGGCCTTTTGTCGGTGGAGTAATTAACGCAGCAACGGTACACGGCCGGATTAAAGAGCAGATAAAGGTTTATTTAGGAACTAATATACTTGATAAGAACGAGGAGAGACGGAGATAGTTCCTAACTACGTCTCTAGCTGAGAGAGACTGAGTGTGGCACTTCCGAGAAGAAGGGGGAAATTACCCTGAGAGTAGCAATCTGGAGACAGACAAGGAATGGCACTTGATAGGAGAAAGAGGGTACTGTCCTCGCTATCCTATCTAATTGTCTTCTTGCTGCCCCCTTCAGGGTCTTCTTCTCTTCTTCTTTGTACTCCAGACATTGCTTTTTCCAACACCTTTGGTCTGATTTTAGTACGGCTCTCTTGATACGTTGTTCTAGATCATGTGAGAACCTGTGTGGCATGGCAGTTAGTGTGTTGGATCAGGATCTTGGAATCCAGGTTCTGATCCCCTCTGCCATGGAAGCCCACTGGGTGACCTTGGGACAGTCACGTTCCCTCAGCCTAACCTACCTGACAGGGTTTTTGTGAGGATGAAATGGAGGACAGAAGAATGATGTAAGCCGTTTGGGTCCCCTTTAAGGAGAAAGGCAGGGTTATAAAGTGAAGTTAGATAAAAAATAAATGAAATATGAAGGAGAGAGGTAAAGCGTATCTCAGTCTCTCTTCTGTCACACTTTATCCCTATTTTGTGCAGTGCTTCTGAATGTTCTTAGGCCTGACTAGAATGATGTCATTCTTGTAGCTGGGAGAAGTCTTTGTAATTTTTTCAATTCAATTCAATTACCTTTATTGGCATAAGAGAACTTTACAGCCAGGGCCCAAGTGCAGAACTGAAAGTCAGTAGGTCGTACCGTACAGAATTGTCCTTGATTTTAGCACTTCAGCTAAATAGTTAGCCACAATTTCATTCATTCAGGAGAAAACAACATTGAATTCATTAGTCAGATGTCTTTTTGACTGTAATACATTGAAGAGTATTTTCCTCTCGAATCAATTTGTAAAAGAGACAGTCCAAAATTATGTGGTTAATTGAGTCCAAGGAATGTAGACCACAGGGGCAAATTTGGGCCTGAAGTGGAGAGTGTCGGTAACGACCAAGATGCGTCTCAGAAGGGAACGCGCTCAATCTAGCCAGAGAGAAGGCTCTACGCTGATGCGGATCTTCAAGGTTATAAAAATAGTCAAGACCCAACATTGTGGGAGACCAGACATAAGGTTGTGCGGGACAAAGTTTATGCTGTTCAATATCAACAAGTCTTTGTCTGGTGCTCTTAAGAATATTAAGCTCATCCGACAAAACAAGATCATTGAGGTCAATCCCTATTTGTTTAAATTTGTTCAGAATTGTAGAGTTCCGGATTGCATTGTTCAGATAGCTTTTTAGATGGTTCAGTAAAGATCCTGAGTTGGCTCTAAAAAGAATTTTGAGCCAGTAACAGATCACATGGATCCAAACCTTTGTTTCAATCAGATTTTGACCAGTTTCTAAAGAGATGGTAAAATAGGGTACGCATTTAGGGATACCCATAATTTGTCTAAGAAACACTCCCTGGGGTGATTATTTTCATTTTAAAAAAATAATTCCATTTATTTTTCATTTTAAAAAATAATTCCATTGGGCTTTCGGCCCCAGAATATCTATTTGGTTACCCCTTGCCGTAGCTGCTTGGCAATATATATGGAGTCATACCATGCCAGACGAGTGTGATTCTTTGATTCTCATTCACCGTGGCCTACTGTATTGTCACTGACAGTTGCATACATTTGTTGTTTCTTTCTCCCCTTTCATTTACCAGCTACTCAGTCACGGGATTTATTGATAAAAACAAGGACACTTTGTTTCAAGATTTCAAACGCCTGATGTATAACAGGTAGGAGCAAAACTTAACAATTCACCTATTAACTGCAGGACTTGGCACAGTTCTTCCGCCAGGCCTTCGCATAGAAGACGCCGCTGTTATTGTACCACTACGGAGTTTCCATCTTTGACAGTGGGTTAGATCGGGAGGCGAGCCGGCCCTGGGCAGACACCAGATGACCAGAGAACGGATCTGTCAGGCAAGGTTGATAAAAGGAATCCATCTTGGACTAAGAAGATTGAACATCAACGAGCACCACACTTTATTTAATGATCGTTTTATGCTGTTTAATGATTGTTTTTATGTTGTTTTAACTGTTGTTATGGCATCTGCCTCTTTTGTAAGCCGCCCTGAGCCCGTATGGGGAGGGCGGGGTATAGATCTAATAAATAAATAAAAATAAATAAATATTATTGACACACTGGCCAAATATTAGTGACCTTTTAATTCATCCTCTGGCTTTGTAGCTCCAACCCTGTTTTGAAAAAGATGTGGCCAGAAGGCAAGCTGAGCATCACAGAGGTGACCAAGCGCCCGCTGACAGCTGCAACCTTGTTCAAGAACTCCATGATCGCTTTAGTGGACAACTTGGGCTCTAAGGTAAGAAGGTAGTCTGTCTCTGCTTTACTTTTGCGTTCTCTTAAGTAGGGATGGGCACGAACCTGCTGGCGAGCTAAAGTTCATTATGAATTTTGGCCTGTTTTGGGTTTGCGAACTGAAGTTTGTGAACTGAAGAACCAGGAAGAATGACCAGAAGTTTGGCGTAATTCATGGTGGCTGTAACGATTCCTTGTTTCTCTGTGTGTATGTCTCTTTAAAAGTTTGGTTGCATGGCTGTGATAGATAGACTAGAGTGGTTGAGAGAGGCAAGTGTAGTATGATTGGTGGTTGACAGAGAGGGGGAGGGGTTTTGGAAGTGAATCTGGTTGGATGAGTATGTGAGTCAGTCAAGAGTTTCAGTTAGATGTTGACAGTTGATGTTCAGACAGTTAATTAGGTGTTTAAGCAGTTAAAGCGGACAGCTGCGATTGTTCAGTGAGAAAGAGAATGAGAGCTAAAAGCTGATTGTATAAGAAAAAGTAAAGTAAAGTTTAAGTGAAGAACAGTTAAAGGAAAGTCTGAGTGTCCTAACTAACTGGAGTGAAACAGTGAACATATATGGCATTGAGATAAACAAGTGTTACAAAGTTGCATGCAAAGATCCCTGTCAGCGAGGAATAAGATTGAGTGTGATACCAAAGCAATTGTACATCATTTACACATTACTAGTTGCCGTACGCCTTGG